CCGAGAAGAAGAAGAAAGATCCTTACTTTTGTCAATTTGGCTTCTTCGAGCTCTTGTGCTTGTTTCCGAGAATGGTGGTGGCTAACACGTGTCGTTACAGGAATGCGTAGACCTTCTTGGAACAAATCTCAGGCGATCCAGCAAGTTTTATCTCTTAAAGCTCTTTACGAGCCCGGAGATGATTCCGGCGCCGGAATCCTCCGCAAGATCCTCGTTAATCCGCCTCGTGTGAGCAAAATTTCTGTTTTTTGGCATTGTTTATTTCACTCCGATTTGCACAGAGACTAAAGTGAAAATCTTTAGTTCTTAAGTAGTAGAGAATCGTTCCTTTTGGTTATTGATGAATTTAGGGAATTTGTCTCTACTTATGGTCCACAGGTTACAACAACTTCGATTGAGCCAAGCAATGAGTTTGGAGCTTGTGGTCGGATTCCTTGTCCGGATGATGATGGTCCATGTCACAGAAGGGACTCTCCAAGATCAGCTGAGTTCTCCGGTGGTTCTGGTCAGTATGCAGGGGAGAAAGATAGCTACAAGACAGTGTCTCCCAGGTTTACTTTTTTGTCTCTTTGAATTCATGTGATGATAACTTTCTGCTTCTGTGTGGCTGCAATGTTGTTTTAAGTTCAAGAAAAGAGCTATGCATTGTGGTACATTTAAGTTTGATCTTAGAAAGTATTTGGTTCAATATCAAATCCTTAGACTTTATAAACTTTATGGATCAGTATGGTAGTTAGGTTAAAGTTAGATCCTTGTATATTGTTCAGTATGGTATTTAGGATAAAGTTAGATCCTTTCCAAGAGGTCATGACCATTGAGGTTTTATCTGTATCTGTATCTGTAGTTGGTGTTTCAAGATCTTCTTGGTTCTGTCCTAGTCTTCTTGTTTTTGTTAAAGTGACTATCAAGAAGGGTTGGTAGGACTTGATGTGATCATTGCTAGTTAACGAAAAAGTTAGTTACTTGCTCCATATTGGTTTAACATTTTTGGCTCCTGGTTTGTTAATTCCGCAATGATCCATGTATGAAAGATTAATACACAGCTGTTGCTATTATGTGCCTGTTGTTATATAAGCGAACCAACCTCGCTATCGTGCTGTTTTAAACTAACTCTTTGTAATGTTGCATCAGAAGCCCAGCTGAAACAAGTGCGCTGGCTGGTCAAATGACGATATTCTATAGTGGAAAAGTGAACGTATATGATTGTGTACCACCTGAAAAGGTAAATGAAAAACATTATTATGTCCCGCCTGAAAAAGAAAAACCAGTGATGGTTTTGATCATGCATCCTGTATATTGGTCTGCAGGCACGGTCAATCATGCACTTTGCAGCCAATCCAATCGATTTGCCTGAAAATGGTATTTTTGCTTCTACTAGTATGATTTCCAAGCCCATGAGTAAAGGTAAGCTTTTGCTAAAGTGTCTAATCTGCTTTTCGGTTAATTGATAGATGATTCCAGAGACTTGTGATGATTTTGTTTTTAAGTAATATGACCAAACTGGAAAAGTGAATGGAGCCGCATCTCTAGCTTTTTCTGACAGATTGAGTAGAACTTAAATAAAATAAAAAATCTTTTGTTTCTTAACATGGCTTTATTTTTCCAGTTTTCAAAGGAGGCATTGTTAAATGAACAAAGAAGCATGTATAAATGTGTCAGCTTGTACAGATGCTTATCTTGTTTAAAAGCATCTGAAATTGTGACTTGATTTTGCAGAGAAGATGGTGGAGCAGCATCCTCAATGTGGCCTTGAAAAAGCAAATGCTTCTCGTGATTCTGGTACGAACAGTACTACTCATATTACCTTAGTGATATATAAACCTGTCATTCTAATGATGCTTAAAGCACCTGAGAGGAAAATTTGATCCACCTGCTTTCCCCTGTACTTGCTATGCTAATCGTGTTTACTTAAGGCAGATAAACTTGATGTGCTTGTTCTGCTTGATATGTGACCTGCACATTCTGTTAGTTTTAACCATTGTTTTTATGTTTTATTGGTCTCTCTAAAGATGTGGAGGGTCAGGCGAACAGAAAAGTGTCGTTGCAAAGATATCTTGAGAAGCGGAAGGACAGGTGCGTTAAAGAAACAATCGTTGTTGCAATTATGTCAGCGTAAATACTTGCGTTTATTCCAAAATCTGTGAATACTAATATCCTTCCTTTCTGAGCAGAAGATACTCTAAGACCAAAAAGGCTCCAGGAGTTGCATCCTCTAGCTTGGAGATGTTTCTGAATCGTCAGCCACGGATGAACGCTGCATATTCACAAAACCTTAGCAGCACAAGAGATCCCCACATGATCTGCGAGTCACCTGAAAATCAGACGAGAAGTCCCAATCTCTCGGTTGATCTAAACAGCGATCTAAACAGTGAAGGTATCTAAAGCATATATGAAAAATGGTTTCAATTATACCCCTCAAAACTCTCATCCCTTTGTTTTGTAGATATTTAACAAGATGCCAAAATACTGGAGATGATATAACGGTTTCGAAAGGCGCTTTATGCCGAAATACACGAAGAAGAACAATTTGCTGCTCTTTTAACAAAATTGCCATGGCTTTAAGATTGAGCTTGGAGAAGTCTTGTGTGATCAGTGCGGGGTTTGTCTCTTTATTTTTGTTTTCCATCGTTTTTTGGTCTCTAGTTTTGGAGTTAGGTTAGCGAGGGAAAAGTTCTTGTTTCATATAGAGACAAAGAGAGATTTGAGAGAATGTGGCGGGCTTTTGTACTATGTAAATGCAGTCTTTATATGTTTCACTTTTTTAATGAGAGTCCTTATTATCGATACCAAACTTGAGTTTGTAAGAGGGGAAAATAGTGGTCTCTCTTTTTGTAAAGATGAACAGCTAATGTTTCCATCACTATGGAACCATTTTGAAGTAATGCAAGGCGGCTTTGAGGGCTCATTGCTAGTCCGATAACCCTCAAAAGAAAATATTGCGTCGCAAGTGATTTGCTTCTATTGTATATGCGTCTTGATTTGTAACCGTTTTCAAAGAGGTTCTTCTTCTCTATGGTTTCGCGATTTAGAATGAGGATGATGATATCAATGAAGATCAGAGACTTCCTCACCACAAGGATTCTAAAGAGTTTATATCTTTGGACAAACTTGCAGGTTCATAGGAGCTATGCATCCATCAACTAAAATAAATAATTTCTGTTTGGTCATCTGTCGCTTTTATTAGTTATATCTATCACTGCATTTAATATATATCTTTAAGCACAATATATAAATGTAAAATATAATATTGAGTAATATATTTTTTTTGAATATTATTCCAATCAAATTAGGCTATAAATTTATAGAGACAACAACATACTAGAGTTCTTCCCATTGGTTGACACAAAGCAATTTTTAAAGGTGCTTGTTCACTCCGCACCTCTCGTAACAGTCTTCTTTCTTTTGACATGGTCCTTTGAATTCACACTCGTTTGGAGATTCTTCCATGATCCCTATTTAATCAATCACATTATATGATTATAAATATATTTATTGATGATTTTATAAGTTTTTTTTTAGTAATCTATACTTATAAATGAGAAGTCGAAAATCCTACGTGGCGGCTCCAGAATGAGTTTAAAATTTGGTTTGCCTATATTACCCTTAATAAATCAATATAATTACATTTTCATGCCATCCACGTTTTATTATATTGGGTTTTGTTAAATAAATTTGTTGAGGCCCATATATATTGATATAAAACACTTATGAAACCCTAATGAAATCCAATAAATAAATCGATATTTAAAATTCAGCAGAAAAGAAAACTGCAAAATGATTATAGACCTAGGCTCTTGACGGCGACGGAGATTTCTGAATATGTGCCTTTCTTGGTTCTTCCTTTGAGTTTTTGATGAGAAACAGTGTTTGGTTTTATTTGGTGTAAAACGTTGATACGGATGATGATTTTGTTGTTGGTTTTGTTTTCTTGGGGTTTGTTTGATGAAAGATGTGTATTAACGAAGCTATGTGCATAAAATTCTCTGATTGCGATTAGCGGTTTTTTCTATGGGTTATTTGGAAAATTTGGAGATGTTCGATGTCACTTTTGTTGGTATCATCATCATAAATAAAGCTTTAATYGAGAGGTATGGTTATAACTTTGGTGGAGCTGTCCCCCTTGATGTCTAAAGCTAATCATCATATAGCCATGGCCGTGAGATCTAGATTTCGTTYATGTCAATTCAAAGATYTTCCTTCCGGAAGTATGACAGAAGAAGATGAGAYAAGTATAAGAGTTTTGGTTTTGATTGAAACCTCAATGATTGAGATGCTAGAATTGTGTTATTTGAACCAAACATTTCATACACGTTTCGACGGTGAGGGATTCATAATATAMTCGTCTTTTAATTGTGTTAGTTCATATATYTAAMCATAAGTATGTTAATTTATATACGTATTATGTTATCAAACTCAGTAAGTATTTTGTTTGCATATTTAAATCACTYTGTATACATAACATTGTTTACAATTTAGGTGCAAGTATTCYAAMGACCTGATAAAGCTTCTGGCAGGAACGACGGCTGTTGCTTTCAACGCATGTTCTTTTAGTATGTGTTTGCGTACGAAGGTTAGTGCGTTTRTTTTAATAATTAGTTTGATTTGTGAAAGCTTTATTAAGTTTCTTCAAAMGGTATYTTATTTTTGTACAATATGGCTTAAGGTCTCTTTTTATGATGAAATCTAGAATTTGTCTAAATCATGATAGTTTTAAATTGGTATATTTTCAGCTTCTATTAGCAATTCTAATATTTTTCATGTATATTTGGTTTCT